AAGTTGTTTGAATGCGAGGATTTGAAATCATTTTATTTTAAACTCAAAGTTTTTCGATAAAGGCAATTTAGTTTTATAAAGAACATTTTAAAACGTCTTGCGAAGCGTTTGAGGTTGAATTTTACGTTTAAGGAAGCAATATATCTAATTTTTTCAACAAACCATTGTTTCCTCTTATATAAAAGAGTAATTTTAACCCACAATCGCTACTCTTCACGTTACCATGACAACATAACGTCATCATCTATATGGCCTATATCAACCAAAAAATCCGTCTTAACCGAGAAATAACCACGGTGACCTACCATTTTGTTGCATAAAATACATTGTCATGACGTTTTGAATCTTTTTTGAAAGTTATTTGAAAATCGCCACAGTAGATTTCGAGAAACTGATTTTCAGCCTTTCCAAAGGCCAAATGACAAATAATAATAATTCAACCGAGTGGCCGGGTGTAATTTGTTCTAAAATCGCTGTCAAAATTATCGTTGAGATTGCTTCAAAAACAAAACAAACATATATGTCTACCGCACCGCATTAAATAAAAATTAAGATCGGGCCAAAAATATGGTTCCTACCTTTTCCCTAAAATGGAAAAAGAACTTTACTTTGACAAAACTTACGTAACAAAATTTACATGCTTGAGTGAAATTTTCAAACCGTACGTAAGCGTTGTGAAATGCTTCATCACAAAGCAGGAAAACGTTATCAGTACAGACGGTTAAGCTGTCAGACGTAAGCTGTCTCGATCATTTTTATGTATTAATAATACGTAAAAGGATGGTTACTCCTGTAGTTTTGATAAAAACATGCACTCGTGGGTTTTACAAAGACCTCAAATACCACTTTTCCTACGGACTTGTGCTATTTTGATTCTCTATAAAAAACTCACTCGTGCATGATTTACCCAAAATGCACTCTAGACCATCCCTATCACCTAATACTAGCTAAGGGATATAAATTTTTGTACTGACATACATAACGAGTGTCTTTATTAAACAAAGTGCATGCATATATACCCACTTACCAAACACGCCAATAGACAGCACAAAAATAGAAACAACTAGCATGTTCATTTTCAATCTTCTCAACTTCTTATTCAAACTGTCCAGCTTTCAAACTTTCCAGCGTTAGAGATTCTAAGAACAGTGTGTATTCAACTGACGACCTTTTGTACTTTTTGTGCGCTAAACTAGTCCAAAAGCACTTTGAAAAAGCTCTTAAGTGGAATTAAAGAGGCGTACTTAAACTGCAAGAGGTGATTGCTAAGCAAAGAAATTTTAAAAGTAATACATTTGTTATTCAAATTTTTCCCAATATAATTGTGTTAAAATAAGTAAATGAGATCCGATATTTTCTCCAATGTTGGTAAGGTTATTCTGTTATCGTATAATTGTATATTATAATGTATATATAATTTTCTAATTAGTATTAAATAGCTGTGAATTTTTGCTACACGATGCCGACACAAGCAATATCAAACCGTAGAAGCAGGACGATTGATTGTAGAGGGCAGAAATATTAAGTATTATGTTAGAGGTTTTTAACATGTATTATTACTTATTCAAAAGAATTAAAGGTTTCTCAGTGTTTGGCTAAGAGCCAATTATGAAATCGTCGTATGAACTCAATAGCTACGGGAGTGACGTCATCAATTTGATATGAAATTATCATCTCAAAGTTACGGAATTCATGTGAAAACACGTCCAAAACAATATGGCGCCGCCATCGGTTTGATAACGTAAACTGAGGTCTCGATAATTCTTCATGTCGTACGAAAGCCGAATTATCAAGTTCTCTAAATTTCTTTCTCTACTTTTCAGGAATAACTTGCCATAAAGATTTACATATAGAATAAACTATAGGCAACTAATGTCAATATTATGCGTGTACGCTTGTACGTACTTTTCATTTTCACTGTAAAAATATCTTGATTTTTTATAGAATAATTATGTACTATTTTTTTAACATTAGGAATACTGTGATCGTAATTTATAGTACAATGAACCGTATAAAAAACAAAATAAGTGATTGTCTGTTTTTCCCCGAGCCAACGGCGCGGAGCGCCGTTTCGGGCGTAAGCTCGGGGCGAGGGTACTAATTTCCTGGCTACTTACACCGGGGGGAACGAAAGGATTAGCGAAGTCAATGATCGCGGGCACTCACCAACGATCTTGATTGGGTGGTGATCCTCACTGATCTCAAAAATATGGCTGATTGCTTGTAGGAGTGGTATAAGCAAGATGTATAAGCAAGATTTCAATTTTCATACACAACAAGCTTGAAGCAATTTTGTTTCAAGAAATGAGAAGAATTTATTTACTATGGGAAATCGTTAAATATACGGCAAGTTTGCTTTGAATATTTAATGTTTACAAATTTTGTTGCTTTAACTTTTGCCGAATTAAAAACATGAACTGTTTTCCTTTTCAACGAAGCTCTAAGTTTCATAAATTACCGTTTAATTTGAGAAAAAATCTTAAAATGTAAAGGCGAACAAATTGATTTGAAGACTGAACTGAAATTACCAAACAATTTGTTTTATTTGTATTAAACTATTAAATGTTTTAATAAGTAAAAACAGTTTATCGGCAAAATGCAGTTGACTTGAATGAACATTTCAAAACATAATACGAAGCGTTTCAAGTTAAATTTTACATTAAATCAAAGTTCACAAAATGAAAAATAATACACTTACAGTATATATTTCGGAAATTTATTGTTGTAAAGTTAAAAGTACGAATCTTTCAACTATTATAGTTTTGTACAAAAAATATGAAAAATTTAAGAATATCTTGTTGTCATGGCAACACTTGAGCGCGAGCCTGCGTTCAGTGTTGGTCATTTCTGAATTCTTCATATTAATTTAATGTTTGGAAAATATTGGCGAGGGGTTACTGCATGCATGTATTTCTAGTTACGAAATAATGTACTGTTATTTTTTAGAGTAGGAAAACTGTAATCCATAATTACAGTAGCCTATATATACGCCAAGTGTCTTAAATCCATCTTTTTCTGTTTTTTTCCTGGGGGTTTTTCATAGTCGAGAAATCGAGTTTGCGTTAGCTCATCGCAGGCTCAGGGTGCAACGATTAAGCTTTGATAACAAGCTCGTATTTATGTAATTAATAGCCGGCTCATGCCATGCTTATGGTACATTTTTCGTTTATTAGCCCATACACTTGTACGCACGCGCACAATTCCGAACTCGAAGGATAGAGTGCTCCAGGGGCATATTCATTTCAGATTCAAAATGTCGGCTCTTCACTGAGCGATCTAATATATATTTCACACAGTTTCGTTGAATTTTCAAAGAATTCTGCCGGTTTCCTATGGAAAATACGTTGTGTTTGTTTGTTTGTTTGTTTGTTTGTTTGTTTGTTTGTTTGTTTGTTTGTTTGTTTGTTTGTTTGTTTGTTTGTTTGTTTGTTTGTTTGTTTGTTTGTTTGTTGTTTGTTTGTTGTTTGTTTGTTGTTTGTTTGTTGTTTGTTTGTTGTTTGTTTGTTGTTTGTTTGTTGTTTGTTTGTTGTTTGTTTGTTGTTTGTTTGTTGTTTGTTTGTTTTGTTTGTTTTGTTTGTTTTGTTTGTTTTGTTTGTTTTGTTTGTTTTGTTTGTTTTGTTTGTTTTGTTTGTTTTGTTTGTTTTGTTTGTTTTGTTTGTTTTGTTTGTTTTGTTT